CTAGTTAACAAAACAGCTGAAATGAGCCAGCCATTTAAATTTTAATTAGTATTGAAGAGAAATACTTTAGCTCCAAAGACTTGGCAAAGTAAAGTCTGTGTGAGCGTGGAATACTATACATCTTACAAGTGTAAGAAAGATAGCAATAAACAAGCATGCAGGACATATCTCATGTTTTTATTAGACTCTTAAAGATGGAAATAGAAAGAAGAAACATAAATTAGGTTGTATTGGTAATTTCCATAATTTCCATAGTTAATGAATAATTTAAGAATTCCATACCTGTTTCAAAACTTCTATTAATACTAAAGAAAAAATAAAATCAATAGCCAGATCTCTTCTCTCCATTAAATAATCCCTCTGCTGTTCATCACTGAAAAATCAAAACAGGAAACACAATATTTAGGACATGTGTCATAATTCGTATTATATGCCTTCCTTAGTTACACAAATACAGATAACGGAGATTATGTTCTACTTTTTAAACCGCAGGCCAGCACTTCAGAAAGTAATGCACTGATACGCTCTTAAAATCTGATACAAATAGACCAAATCAAACTTGTTACTTTCACCTTCTTTCGAATGTTTAAATGTTGTTCTCTATTTCCTCTCTCTTCTTTTTCCAGTATAAGATTAACACAAAACTTTCTCAAGACAAAAAACAACACAAAACAAAAACAAGGAAACTTTGATTCTATATCCTAACAAATGGATTTCATTTCTATTTCCTTGCTGATGGCACTATTTAGACAGTTCTCAATTACACTTTGGAGACAAACATCATAAATTATTTTGTGCCATGAAATTAATATTTAGATTTGTGATGGATTTTTAAAAATGCCTTAAAAGTACTGATGGATAATTCATAACCAAACTACATTCTCTTTTAAAACTGTTCCAGTGGGTTTTTTTTAACTTTGGCATCACTTGTCAAATGTTCAAATGCATTCCTTGTGCAGAACAGCACAACAACAGGTGAGTAGTTTGCAATACAAATACAAAAAATTATCGATTTGGATCACCCGATCACAGTTTCAAACCTGAAATATACAACATGTTTTAAAAATTAAACATTAAAGGGACAGTTCTGCAGTCTGTTTGAAGCGGTTGTCACTGATTTCAGTCAGATTTTTGTTTGCATAAATTCAGCGCAGTTCTTATAAACATTAAGAACTTTAGTGATTTCAGTTGTACTTATATGCTTATAATAAAACATGCATTTAAGAGTTCTGCTTGATCAGTGATGAAATAAATTATTTGCATTTTGGTTTGACATTAACTGAAGAAAGGACTGGTTATACATTCTTTCTGTAACACTGTCAATTGACAGAGTGGCCTTGGTTCACTGCTAAGCTGACTTTCAGCTAGACTTTGGGTGGAGTTCTTGAAGACATCTATTTATAAGCACGTGGTCCTGTAACAAGTCAAGAGAAAGAGGCACTTCAAGGCAAGGATTCATCTCATGTAAAAACAGACATCTAACTGATGAATCATGCCTTCATATTGCCTACTCCCACTGACATAGAGAGTCTGGAAGAGTCTGATTCAGGTTCATGTCTACCTTGATGTTCTAAAACTAGCTCCTACCCCTTTGTTCTAAAGCTATTGCCTTCAGTAGTTACTGGATTACAATGTAATCCTAATGCAAAGAATTGCCTATGCATTTCCAAATACCAGCAATGCCAGTGCTGATTCTCCTGCTGCTTCATCAAAGAGTGTAAATGTAGTGCCAAAGTATTCAGAAAAACTGTAAGTTTGAAGAATATACCTGTACCGAACTGCCAGACCTCAATATAAACCAAGACCAATCTGTTGCCTTATCACGGAGGAACTACTGATATCGTAAGAGATCAATATATTTGGTTTAGGGTCTTTATTTTTTTCATTTTTTTAAGAGCTAAGTCAACGTTGCTAACACTTTCTGACAGAGTCACAACTTTTTGGATTGAAGATAGGTGTCTATGAAATTTCTATGACTCAGCAGAATGCTGTATAAAAAAAAAATCTTTCCAAGTGTCTCAGAATTATTGTCTGCTCGTGAGTAAAGAAGACAGACATAGTTTATATAAACCAATATTTAAATGACATTACAGATTCCAAAACAACAGTAAGAAACAGTCTTTGAACTCTCAGGAGCATAATTTTAAAGACACAATTACTGCATCCATCTAGAAGCTGAGAGAAGAGTTCTGGGAACAAGCAGAAAAAGATCACAACAACTTTCAAACAACTGTAACCTCACAAAAGCTGATCGACAAAATCTAAAACATTTTACCTTCAAATCTGTCAATGTCTGTATACATATTCAAAATCATACCTTTTGGATTTAGTACTTGTTCTTGGTCTGTACTCATGAGATTCATCTTCTATGCCATTCTGTCTCTTATACCAATCAAACAAAGTGCGCAGGATAGAGGGTAGACAATATTCTGAAAGCGAGCTCATTGAGCTTATCACCTATGGGGAAAATACAACAAATCCAGGGGTGTTCAAGTTTCCCCTTATCCTTACAAAAAAACGACTAATTCAATGGTTAGGCATGTTCTTTCTTGTTTTTATTTCACTTTTGAGATCCACGGTACAAGCAGTGACTTAATATTCTACATTTCCTGTTGAAACCTAAGCAGAAATACAATGATGGGCTATATGTCGATAGTGTCTTTAAATTGACATTACTAAAATGCATTAAAATGTGTATCACATCTTACAACACACCAGAAAATGAAGTAGTTCTTTAAGGCGCTTTTTTTTTTTGTTATACAATGTCGATTTAAGTTTGAGCACATCGAGAGGAAAGAAAAAGTGATGAAGCAGAGGTATTGTCTCATAGGCTGTATCTGACTGCTGGATGCCTCTCCTGAAGCTCAGAATGTACTGGCAAACCCCACAAGCTCTGCAATAATCTTAACCAACTGAACGTGCAGATGCATCCATCTTACTATTAGGCTGACACACCTGATAACTTAGACTTCTCTTTTATATATAGGAAAATATTTACAGTTTCCCATATCTTTGTGTGCGCAAGTAAGTAAAACATAGTTTGAAATTATTCCTTAGAAGTTCCTAATTAAACATCTCTAGTGCCATACTGGAAAAGAAGATTACTGCTCACTCAGTATAAACTGCGTCACCAATTCCAGAAATGTTACCAAAAGTGTTACTACTGAGCTATTACTTAAACTTCCCATTACAGGAAACTATAAAGCTACAAAACATGAAAAGATCAAAAGCTAGGGTGAAAAAAACCTCATTATTTTACAAGAGGATTATCTATATATTGCAGCTGCATGTTTACAGCTACAGCATTTGTGAACATTCTAAGAAAAGAACTATTTAAAATAGGAAGAAATTACTGATCTGGAGATTTGTGACCACCCCAAGATCATGCAGGGCTTGATCCTGCGAAGTGCTGAGCAGCAGGAACAAAGTGCTGAAGTATGTCCTTCATGTCAAGTACACTGCTTATGTCACTCCCTCTGTCAGGTTTATCCACCGGCTTAAGCTCAAACCAGCACGTCTCAGTGCTTGTGGAACAACAACAGCAGACTTTAATGTCTTGTATAAGACCAAACTTGCGTGAAGTCTGTGACTAAGGCAATTGCAAAACTGGGAGACCAAGCACCTTACATACAATTCCCAGACGTTACTAAAGCCTTAAAAAAAACAGTTCTGAGGATGACAGTTTAGATCAACAACTCTGATATCTCTTGCAGCTCTTCAGCCTCAGAATTCAACTAATTCACTGTGACGCTGTGGTCTGAAGTTATTGAGACACTTTGAGGATAAATTATTATTGTTTTGATTGGATTTTAGGTATTACAACCTAAAATTAAAGATGGAGCATTAGAAAGCTATAACAACTGCCTCTGTAAAAATAAAAGTTTCTATAAAAGTACTATTTTAGGGAAGCTTTCAGTCCAGTGCTTCCAAATCTGAAACAAGTTGCTGTGGAAGATGACATGAAGGCACTGCTTGCAGCAGTGACAGGAGGACTTTCATGAAGAATTACTGCAGCAGCCCGGGCTCAATTATACCAAAGCTTTCAAGCATTAAGATTTCAGATAAATACTTAGAAGATATGAATCACCGAGTGTCAGTGCAGACTATTCACTACGAACTTGAGATGCTTAGACATTTCAGTTGCTTCTCTGTTGTTTTCCAAAAGTTTTTCGGAAGCTGGCATAATACCAGTTGTTAATTATGAGATGCAGTGAAAAAAAGGTTGCTGAGGAAGACTAGAATAGACTTAAATATCTTTTAAGAGACCACGATATTTAATTGTGAGTGAAAAGTTGTTTCAATCAGGCCTTCCTGCACCTTCACCAACTTATATATCCTAAATCCCAGCTACACGATTTGACTCACCACAAAAGTCAAAGTGATTCCTGTTAAATCTCCTCAAGCTATGCTTTCTCTGCTGAATTTACAGTGTCTGCCTTTACTTGGGATAAAAGGTCAATATAGCTTTTTTTCAAGCTTTCTGTCATTGCACTTTTAAGACAGGAAGGAAGGGTGGACTAGGCAAAGACCTGGCTCTCAGGGAACAGGAAGGGAGGGAAGTCTAGCCAGCGTGTTGGTTACTCAACCCTTTCATTTACTGGAAGTAAGTCCAGAAGTGAGATGAATTCTAGCTCTGTGCTGCTCCTGAAAGTGAGTGCACAGATGCACAAATATGTCCTTGTTGGACAAATGATCATGTTCTTCCATCAAAAATGAACTACCTACTGTATAGCTTAAGGATAAGAAAGTCACACAAGTAGGGAGCTGTTTAAAACTTGTGTTCACAGAGCATTAAATATACCTTATGTAAATGCTTAATATTTATTTTGGACTAGTATGTAAGAGTAAATTTAATGAAATTCTGTCCAGAGATTTGCTACATTTTATATACTTCCATAAAAGTCTTGCTAGAGTGTCAAAATACAAATATAAGAAATGTTTCCACTAACAGAACATAGATGCTGAGCATTTTTTTTAATTTCACGTATTTCTATGTGCTTTAACAGCAAATGTATTTAAAAATGCATTTAATTTCCAACATTATCATTACTTTCTTGGCTCTGTGTTTTCTTCATATAGCATGCATGGTAAGTGTGTATGTTAAATGTGCTTTTTATTGCCATTTTAATAACACAGAATTGCAGTATTTCATTTTTGCATAGTGTTGGTTTACTTTTTGTCAATCTATTTTTTGCGCAGTGTCTGCATGTTCTGTCTTCAATCTGTTGTTGTGTAGATTTCAAAGAGTGGACATTAAAACTGAGATTTCACACTTTCTGTCAATGTTGCTGAAAGCAGAATTTGATAAACATTGCCTTAGCGATATTTAGCATACCCAAACCCATGCAATAACGTCTTCCCTTCATTCAATGTTTTTTCCACTTCATGCATGTCTGTAACCAAGCCTCATAGCTACAAACAATACAGATTCAAGGGAAATAACAGCTGCAATGAAACTCCTCCTCCTTGAAATCAACAGCAAAACTCCCACGGGCCACAGTAAGAGCAGGATGTCATATGCAGTATATGCAATTAAGGCGATAAAGTTAACAACTCCTATTCCAAATACTCTAGACCAGGGCAGGGGGAAGGTGGAGGGATGAACTGCACTAAGTTCTAATTAAAGAATCTACATGCACTAATTCTGTTGGACTCTTTAAGACCAAACGTTTTTTTTTCTGCTCATGATCGGTTCCTAGACAAGTCAACTCTAACTGAAAAAAAAAAAAACCTCACATCCTTGTTCTAAGCATTTTTTCAGACAGTGCTGTGAAGATAAATGTCCCTGGGAACTATTAAAACTGGTAACTGTTAAGTTGGACTCACTAGTTTTCATTTACGGCCTTGGTTTTGTGAGTAAAAAAAAATGGATTTTTTTTTATACTATAATTTTGTAGATGGCTAATTTCACCTAGCTTTCTTACACATTAACAATGTCCATAGCTATTTTTCTGCCAGGATAACAGTTTACACGAAAATCCACTTATTTCTAGTGTGCAGCAAGTTCAGTTCTGAATGTATTACCTTTAATTTTGCCTTCAGATTTACTTCGTTACACATTGCTTCAACTCAAATCTCTGATCAGGAGGGAATGGTTGTTCTATGACCCAATCACCACCATTTCTTATACTTCTTCTACCATGTGCCCTTCTCCTAGTGAAGAAGGACAATGTGTAAAACACAGGGAAAGGGAAAACACAAAAGGGGCCAACTGCAGTGCTACTGCAATGATGATGGTACCATTATTCCCTTACTACATCCAACAAATACAATACTGGATGGCAATAATTATCAGCACGTCAGCACTTAATTATTAGCATGTTGCTCAGTGTCTTATTTATTTATATTCATCTTTTCCACATTTTTATTATTATTAATTTTTATTTTCATTTTTTCTAGCTTGACCTATTTTTTGTTCTGATCTCTTAAAAGTGTATAAAACACTAAATGCTTTTGCTTTCCAATCTGTACTCTCCAACTCAATGCACTTCTAAGAAAAGAGTAGTGTAATTAAAATGAGCACAAATTTTTGTGCAGTTTATGATGAAACTCTTGCAACAGGCAACTTCTATAGACAGTTTCACATGAAAAGTTAAGTCTTGCTGTTAAGTTTTCACTTCCATGGTCAAAACATTACATTCATTTTGTATTTTCATACGGAAGAGTGTCTACAGGTTGGTCCAAGATTGAACAGTGCCCTTTTTCTGCCTCCAGGACATTTACATACCACGGAAAGAACAGAAGATACTTTAGCAGGGGTTGAGAAAGAACTAATACAAATGTTTCCTTGGGTGAGGATAAGCCTTTTGGATAATTATGGGTTTTTTCACCGTAGCTTTTGATCCTTTCATGTACTGCAATTTTATGGTTTCCTGTAATAGGAAGTTTAAGTCATAGTTCAGTAGTACTAAGTTTAAGAACATTTCTGTAATTGGGGACACAGAGCATGTTAATGCTGGAGCAGTAATGCTCTTTGCCAACAGGCAACTAGAGCTGTCTAACCAAGAACTTTTAAAACATGATTTTAAATACACAATAAAGATATTTAAAACCATATGTAAAAACTATACAGTTTCCTGTATATATTTTCTTTATATACATGCACACCTAAAAAGGAAAAGGCATCAAGTATAAGGAATCCACTTTGTGAGACATTCTGCAAGTCAGGATAAGTAAGATTACTTCATACATTGCTCAAGATACTGTTATGAGTTTGAGGAGGGTGATGCAATTGGCAGCCAGACAGAGCCCACAGGACAACACTGTCTGCCTAACAGGAGGCACTGGCACTACAGCCATATGGAGAGAACCAGCTCTCCAGGTACTACAGCTTCATTTTTAGTATCAGCAAAATTATCCGTATTTTCATGACTTTACAATACTGACATGTTACCATTTGCAAAACAGCTTTATAATACTGAGATGTACTGACCTAGTCTACTGAGTGAAACACGCCAAGGAAGACTTTTCGCTCTATCTTTCTGTCTCTGTTCTAGCTGGGTTCTATCAAATCTCTACTATGTATTAAAAATTTTTGAATGAAAATCTAACTACAATTTAGCTAAACTAAAATTATTTTGGTAAGTATGAATCATGTGCTTGAAAACAGGCTCATCAGCCAGGTTCAGGTCCCATCTCCCAGTAACAGGTGTACACTAATCTCAGGAACACTAGTACATCTCAAAATGATCACGCCGTTCAAGCAGAAAAAAATGTGAAATATGAAAAGGGAAACACTGCCAAAAAGCCAGGCTGAGGCAGGCAGATAGTTGGAAAATTTAAATCTGAATAGTTTGTATGGACAATTTCAAGGAATTGAAAACAAGGTCTTCTGACAGGACATACAAGGCAATGTATACAGCTCTATACTTTTCTATCAACTCTACACACAGGTAGGACTCTAGATGCAGTCAAAAATAGATGCAAATGTTGTGTGTAACAAAATTTCCTTTGTTTTTTGTCTTCATCTTTATTTTTTTCCCCCACCATTCAGAGTAAATTGCTACAGTAGTAAACACGCAGTTGTTTCACTCTAGGAAGCATTCGATGTTCTTGATTGTTAATTGATCTTGACCTAATTGTTCAATTTTCCGTTTACTTACCAATAACTAGGAGAAGCATAAGTCTTCTAATTCTTCCTTGTAAAGGGCCAAAATTTGCTTAACCATGAATATTTAATCAAATCATGGCCACCCATTATGTGTTTGTTTAATACACTGTAGGAACAGTATTACAAGGTTTGCATATGGGTGGCTTAATTTATTTTTTTTTCCCGTTTGTGTGTGACACTCTTCCCACAGGAAGAAAAAAAATAATAAAACCAAAGTCAGAATACCACAAAAAATTTCATTAGGCAGCTAGGAGTACTCACAAAGCAGCCTCCTTTAGCCTAGAGTGGCTGGCTGTGCTGTGGGGTCCCTCTGTGGTCAGCAAGGTGGGCAGGGAGCTCCCCAGTGCAACGCAGAAGTCCTACCATTTGCCTCCTGCTCTGAACAGCCCTCTAAGCAGGTTACCTCTGCTCAAAAAGCAGCTACAGAACAACTTTGAGAACATCACTTTGTCAAGTTAAAATTATGAAGTGAGCCTTTGTGAATGCCAGTGAGGTCTCACAGGGCATCTTTGCTTCTGATGTAACGTATCTGATGTCCCAGAAAACGCAATAAATGTGTTAAATTCATTTGAGGTTCTGAAGTTCTACTCAGACCTATCTTCTCTCCCAAAGTTACTGTAATCAGTATGATACCTGCACCTTATGGCATTAGCCACGGTTGCTTTCAGAGTTGCTGCTGTTGCTGCTGCTTCTGCTGTGCCTTTCTGCCCTGTATTTCTGGCACCACTGGCAGCACAATGGTGCAGGCAGCTGTGGAGTAAGCAGCAATGGTGATGGCAATAGCAGCTGAGGCAGGAACTGCAGAGCAGCAGATAACTTTATTTTCTATGACATACGTTGAGTTTATCCCTCCTCTTTGTTAGCAGTGAGTTTTGGTATCCTTTACACAACTTAAATGCTTTAGCACCTATCCTTTATTGCAGAATAGGTTACTGATGTAGGATTTTTTTCTGGATGCCTTTTTTTTTTTTATGAAACAGACTGCTGACAAAAATTAATTCTCTTATACCAGCATTAAAAAATTCATATATTGCTGTTGGTTTTATTTTTATACTTGTCCTGTTTCCCTTACGTAATCAATTTATTAATCTAGTATCAGATATAATTTTCATTTTATTGATTAAAATTTTATTGTTTTATTAAACGAAATCTAGTTCATGATATAAATTCTATTTTAGTTTTTAACTTGTTTTCCCTGCCAATCATTTTTCTCTAATTATTATTTACCTTGTCATATATAGGCATTTATACTGACAACTGAATTTATGCTTAATTTTAAATACAACAAGTTGGCTCAGCCTAGGTGAATTGCAGCATACATGTAAGTCAGGCTGGGTGACAGCTACAGAGGCAAAATAGACTAATGAGACTGATGCCAATAACAACGATTCTAAAGGCCCTCATACTAACCCTAAGAGAAATCCCATAAAAGAAAGATTGGGTGCCATGCACCTGTTTCAAAAAGCAGATATTCTGAAAAGATAAAAAGTTTGCTTCAAAACCTCCATGAGGGGAAACAGGGAAAAATTCTCCTAATTTAAAACCAAGAATGGTTAGGCAAAACATTCATCATTCTACTGAAGTACGTTGAGAAATATTGCTTTTGCAGTACACAATGAGAGTATAAAGACACCAGACTGCCTTCCAAGTACTGGTCTTATAGCCTGAGGAATGGAAATAACATAGTTTCAAGTGTCTTACTTGATCAAACTGGGGGTCTTCTCCTCGTTGCAGAGATTTGGTCAGTGGCTTCTCCTAAAAGAAAAGATATTAAATATGTATTACTTAAGATCAATAATATGATATACTCTATCAACTCTACTATTGTTTTTCTGTTAGATTTTTATGGCATCCAATCATTATTACCCAGCTGGACTGAGTTAAAGATAATGAACTAATTAACTAACTCAAGGTACCGATCCTGCCTACAAGAGGCAGGCCATTTTCTTCCTGGCTGTGGAAGATGCAACAGTGTCCTTGGTGCTGCAGCCCAGGCTGGTGAGCAACAACTGGTGACCCCGACGTGATGCATCCACGAGACCCTGAGAAGCCCCGACTCCCTTGCCAGAGCCGAGAGCCCGAGCCAAAGGAGCCAGAGCCGGACTCGGGAGACAGAGCGAGAGTCCTTCGGAGAAGAAGGCAAAGCCGCAAGCCCTGACGTGGTATTCATGGGAGGGAAGCGTGCTGGAGTTGGATGAATGGACCGGGTGTCTGCTCACCCTAAAGCCTTTGTGAAAACAAAAAAATTGTAAAACAAAAAGGGGGAATTATGGCATCTAATCATTATTACCCAGCTGGACTGAGTTAAAGATAATGACTAATTAATCAACTCAAGGTACTGATCCTTAAGTTTATTAAATGAAATAAATTACTTACAAGAGGCAGGCCATTTCCTCCTGGCTGCGGAAGATGCAACAGCGTCCTGGGTGCCGCAGCCCAGGCTGGTGAGCAACAGATTTTTACTCACATAATTTGCCTCCTGATCTGTTTCATGATGAAGATATGTTTGTTTCATATGCAAAGGAGACCTCTGCACACATACAACCTAATACACCTAATACTGATGGAGCATCTTCAGTGTTTTGCTAAGACAAGGATTAACCATTCATTAAACCTGAGTCACTTGGTGCTCACACTGATGATAAACTCTTTCAAGATCATAAAATGCACCTGGTGTTTCCTCTAATACATAACCAAGGAGCTCTATTTAGCTACATGATGTACCTTCTTGTTATAATATTGCCAGGCAATATAAACATGTCCATAGATATAGGGCATCATGCACTACATACTGAAAGAAAGGTGATTTTAGAAGAATTAAATATCATAGAGTTCATTTTTAAGGAAGATAATTGTGGAAAAAATGGCTGTATTACTCAAAAAAGAAAAGTATTTTTGGAATGGAAGCACATTTTCAGGACACGTTCTCAGAGCACCTAGGAAGGCCAAGGAGAACTGCCCAGCTCAGAAATATGAGTCCCCACATGTGAACATCCATACACCTTTACGGCTTTTTCGCCAAGCAGGCTCCATTACTGAAGCACGCAGAAGTTCAGAATCCAGTATTCTAGATGTACGCGGCAGTACGCAAAACATGAATCTCCGAAACCACAATGAAAACAAACAATAGGTGAAGGCAGATGACAGTCTGAAATACATGTCACCCTCACCATCGCAATTCTGCACTGAATTGTACTACTGTTGCTGGTGTCCGAAACGCGCCAGCGCCTTATTCTTCTGTAAATTATGCATCTTTCTTCTCCTACAGCTGCAAGATCAGGGCTCTCCCACCAGCTCAGCATGAGATTTTTCTGTTCAGCTTTCAGCAAAACATTACACTCATCAGCATCTGTTAATTTATCAGGCAAAATACCATCACTGCCAGGGGATGTGAGATGCAAAACAAAGAAATCTGTAAAGCTGCTGAGATAATGGAACGGAGAGACTTGAGACGGTCCAAAGATTTCTATTATTTAATGTTTCTCTCTGGAGAAACCATTGCCCAGTGTAAGATGCTGACTGATTTTGAAATTAATTATGCTGATCCACTCGTAATGCCAGCTGGCAAGGTGACCACAGTATCCCCTGACAACCTACCAAATAGAAAAATCAACAAAATGTTTTCTATTGAGTCACTGATTTATCCAGGACAGTCATCAATATTTTTCACTGTTATCTCTAATATCTAAAGTGACTCCTCCAGGTTACATTAAAGGCACAAAAACTATTAATGAGAACTTTATGACAGGTTATTGGTAACAAACAGACACAGTAAAATCTTGTAGCCCAGAAACAGACACATGATACCACCCCCCCCGCAGTCCTCCTCAACCAGTAACTCCGTGCTACTCTACCCAGTTGTGTCCCATGGGAGGACAACACTTCTTTTGCCTATTGGTGCATACTGAAAAGGACAGCAGAAAATACTTCAAAAGCAGTGTTCAACTTCTTAAGTTTTAATGGGTCCTGGACAAATCAACATACTGAGAATTAGTGTGGTTTAAAAGAAAAAAACAACATACAAGCTTTTTTTTTTAACTTGCATTTCTGATTTTGTTACAGAAGACTTGTGTTACCAAGAGAAGTTTCTTAAGGTCTGTTTAAATAAAAAGCTTTGGCATCCAGAAGCTTTGTGTTTCTATGCCCAACGCTGCAATGCTTGGCTTTCAGAGTAGTACCTAAAATCCAGCAGAAATGCGTTCAGTGTTTCAGGCAGAAATGAGGTGTGAGATTCCTCATAAGAAAGGAATCTGTAAGATGGACACAATTAAATGAGATAAAACATGCTCTGGGAACTCAAGTCTGGAACTGCAATGCTAAAAATGTCCTACTCCCCTGTTACCACATACACCTCACAAATACTTCAGTTCATGATGATGATGTTCTGTAGGGGCTACACTTCTGAGTTAGTGAAGAACTCTCCATTTTGATAGGGCAATACAACTCATCTCTTGCCCTCTCGCCCCTACTAGTGACTAGGTCAGGGCTTCCCAAACCATTGTAGGTTCAACTAAAGAAACCGTTCACAGGCTGCACAACAGACTTGGGCGCAGCAGAAGGCAGTCCTGGGATGGAGACCAGCCAAGGGCACCTAGCAAAAGCCAGGAAGAGTTCTGCTGCCTTGACTTCTCCATGTTTCCAGTCTAGGGAGACTTTAACTGAGGCTTTTTTCTTCCCTTCCTCTCATTCTGCACCCACTGCTGTTCTTGCCATTTCCCCTCTCCTTGCGCTCTTGCCGGGCAGCAGCAGCTGCTTGCAGCTGTCTCAGCTTCTTCTTCGTCCCCCTGTTCAGGTTGCTGCTGCTCCTGCTTTTTCCTAAACTCTTTCCAAGCATGGTGCTGCCACTGACGCTGCCTGGCTGGACTCAAGCTGACCCCGTGAAGCCAAGTGTCTCTGCACATACCCCCCTGTTCTGGGAGTGGGCTGCCCACGTCAGAGCAACTCATTGTACCCCTGCAGTGAATGGCAACAACCACAGAAAACTATATTTGGAGCTTGGAGATTCGAGAAAACTCAAAGTAGAAGTTATGACTACTTACTTTTATTACTAAAAAATAGAAGTTATTACTACTATTACTTCAGTACTAATGATGAGTACTGAATAGATAATGAACTGAATAAAGATGAAGGGCCAGATACAAGCATGGTTTTTGGTGTCTAAGTGATGAGTGTAACAAGTGACCATGTCAGGAAGACACTGATGAGTAAATTCAAAAACAGCTCAACAACATGCAGGCGTTTCAGGTGTCCTTTGAAAACAGCATTTTTTCTTTATGCGATACATATTTTCTTCTCATCTACTGTAAATAACTTGCCTATTCTATGCAGGTTAGTTCTAATAACCTTACAAATCTCACCATTTCATTTTATGCAATATTTTCAACACCATTGCTATGGCATCTACTATATAAAATATATTTCTACTCAACGGTAGACACTTTCATTAGATACCAAAGACTCAGGACTGGCAGAGAAAAGGTTAAAAAGTATAATACAGGGAAACTGCCTCTGAGTAATAGATACCATAGCAGTCTATTTACTCTGCAGATACAATTATTTAAAAGTTTTTTAAAAATCTTAAAAATGTTTTCCAGCCTCAAGGCACTATTTTATTTTTATTTATTTTCTTGCCCACCCAATTCAGAAATGGCAAAGAGGCCCTTTCATATTAGGAGCTGACTCTGTTCGAGTCTCTGTAGCTATAATTCATTCTACAGAAATGTCTTCCAAATCTTGGATGAATAGGTAGGCTGAATTTGGAGCCAAAGCCTACAACCACAAAATATGAATAAAGAAACTTTTGATTAATCTGAAAGAGCCCATAGCTTTCTGGGCTATAAAAAAAACCATCAGAAAATTTCAGAAGAATGGACTCTCAATAATAACATTTCCATTTTTAATCACTAAGTTAAACACCCTTATTTCTTGTTTGAAGTGCTGCCTTCAATTGTACACTCTGTATTTGTTCACGCTGGAAACTCCCATGATATGAACACGTTAGAGATAAGCAGTAAAGACCAGCAAAGACAATTTTGCATTTAATATTTGAAACTATTGTTTTTCAATAAAACTATCTAGACTTTTTGCATCGCCAATGCTTACAAAACAAAACGCTCACCTAAAAATTAATTTCCTTCCTCTGCCTCATTGCTGTTGTGAAAACAATAACTGAATATCATAAAATAGAATATGTTGAATATGCAACAGCAAATGTATATTTTATCACATTTGCACACATCAACTAAATACCATATTTATGATCCATCTAGAAAAACAACATATTGGTCAAACCCTCTGTTCACATAGGCACACTTACACATTTCTCCAAAGACTGTCAGCTACTTTTAATGGTTCATATATTAATGCTTTTTCAGGGCTGCTACACAAATATAATTGGGTAAATTTACACAGGAATAGCTTTTCTCAGCCACCTGTCACAGAACTGAGTGTTCAGGGAAACATGAAAACAAAAGGATGTTGTAGTGCCTATTAAGCTTCACTATGTCACCACATTACAATGACAAATAATGCCCCTTAAAGTTATTTCTAACCTCAGCAACCATTAGGCACGTTATTCCTACTGAACTATGACTGGGTACTTTATTATTGACTGAGATAAACACCCTTTTTTTATGAAGGTATGGAGGATGCACGGATATTTTGATGCAAAATGTAACTTTTGCACTTCATGCTAAAGAGCAGCCACACATATTCTACTGAGTAGTCTGCTGGGATGGAAGAGTTACCAAAAGGAA